GTTCAAATAATAAAATTGGTATAAAAATACCTAAAAAAAAACATTTGATATTTTAATGAATTATTTTTTACAATTAACTTGAATGAAGTAAAAAATAAACATATTTGAAGTGTAAAGAAATCTCTTTTACCTTTCTATTTAAAAAAAAAGTCTAGATTGTTTTCTTCATAAATGTCTTTAAAACGACGGGTTTAAACCCCAATTACAAGGAAGAAACTCAAAGCTTAGAAAATATAAAAGTTCATCAAAATTTCACGAAACCTCTGAAGATAAAAGCAGATCAAATAAGTTAAGATAGGTCAAAGTCCTCCTTAAATCTAAAGGTTTTCATTCAAGTAACTAACAAAACAATAAGTACCTACTAGATAATCTTGTTGTTAATTAAGTACCTAAGAAAAACATATTTATATTAAATCTCTACTTTGTAAGTAAGTTTTCGTAAACTTCATATCTGAACTTTTAGACAAAAAACGTGAGATTTTAAAATTAAATTGATATAATAGCAGAAAAATAACTAATGAACTAATTATTCGACAAGTTCTTCAGCCTTTTAACTTCTTTAACCTAAAATTTTCACGAAATACGAATAAGTATTTTGGATAATTTGTTTCAACAATAAAGTTATCTAATCAAGCCGCTACAGATGAACATACAGAATCATAAAAACAATTAGAACTCGCCTCTTAATATTCCTTTAAAAGCTTTTATTTCCACTTATTTATGCTAATCCAAAACTCCAGGAGATACGGCAAAAATATCACGACACGGGTCCCCATAAAATGGCATAAGCGAGGAAACTTGAAACAAAATTTTTGCCGTTTGCCGTTACTTACAACCTCCGCGAGGATTCCGTTTTGATGTTAAGTACACGTATGTTTTTGAAGTCTGAATTAGATGTTTAATTAAATAAATGGCTGTTGTTTGTTATATTAAATTTATATTTTGAATAGGTTAATATTTTTTCTTTATCAACGATGGAACCTCTTTTGGCGTAGGTGCATCTCACCTGAAGGAAAGTGATGATCAGGCTGATGAAGGTACTCGTAGCAACGAGCTCACACGGAATCCTCAACCACAGAGGAACTGGTTATCTTATCTCCAACTGCCGAAACACAACAATACTGTTAAATTAAGGGTGACAGGCATACTTAAGCAAGATTGTGGAAGCTGCCAGACGGACTTAGAACACGTGCTACCACCATCTACTATAATCGAAAAGAAAATGACATCTTCACTGAGAATGAAACTCAGGATCGTGAGGCTAGACGTATAGTCTTACCGGCTCTAGACCACAAAGTCGGTTAAATCTTCATCAAGATGAATCTTCCAATTTATTTGTGTTTACAATATTTAGGTACCTAATTAAACTGACAAGAAACCACAGGAGATAGGTACAATATAATCCTTCTAGGTCTGTATTAACTACGGTTAAACCAAAAATAACAATGGATCACGAAGCTGAGCCAAAGTAAATATTGTTTCATTAACTAACATTTAGCCTGATGTGATCCTTCAAGATACATCTTGCCACTAAGCCGAATGGGTCATCTAGTGTGGATGGAAATCCAGACTATCGAATTTATAAATATTTCAGTGTTATTTTATTTTTAATCGAAGTTTAATAAAATTATTATATAAAAGTTTATTCTTTGATTAAATGGCCAATTGACTGGACAACATGCAGTCCTGCACATTATTGTATCTATGCTTCAGTATCTACTATGCGGTGGTGCATGAATGCTTTAAATAATTAATTGCATGAAGTTAATTTACATACTAAGTATTAGGTTTTCCTTTTTGCATCATATTTGCATGACTGTTATGTTCGACCGTACAATATAGTGTTTATAGATAAACGATAAACTGTCAAGAACCTACTTAAAACTATCGTTAGCCAGACAGCTCTACCTATTCTAAAAGTTAAGGAATACTTGACATATCAATATTCAGTAATACCTTAAGATCTGAAACAAGAATTAATAGTTTAAGCTGTCTCGGATACTAAAATCCATTGACAAAGTTTGTGACTTAATTAATCCTCTCAATGAATATTGTCCTAAACTGTTTTATTTTATTTTTAACAACATATTCCTGTTATACCCATTAGATCTAAATTATCTCATTGCCTTTCGATAGCATTATCCGCCACTTAATACATTTACGACATCGCGGGCCCACCAAAACATTTGTCGAGTGCTAACAACAAGCCTGTCATAAGATTTAAGTGTGCAATAACACATAGCTAACGACTCCTCTTTTCTGTAATCTGTGAAATAAACGTGACAAAAGACGATGTTGCCATCTCGAGATAAACGTCTGAGAGCCCGCTTTCTTCATCCCACGCATTATTATGTTCGAGGACGTCAAATATTATGGAACACGTATTAGATAAGTAGTTATTTGTTAGCGCCAAGTTATTTTTATGGTAGCGCATTTTCTTACATAACTTTTCAACTCCTATCATTGGAGGTCCGAAAATATTTCTCATACAATTTGATACCATAATGATCATTCTTCATAAAAAAATTTAAACCTACATATTTAAAAACATAATCATTGATATTCATAATATCACTAATCATACACTTAGTTTTTACTAATATTTGTTTTCATATATTTTTCTATACTAATGATCCAAACTCATAATCATTCGAATAAATAACTATAATATTCATAAATATGATGTATCCTAATATTTGTTTTCATAAATTTATTACTCATAAGTGTATTTATCCATATTATTGAAAAGGGTGCCCTCTCAGACGCATAACATTTTTCATCATAATTTAGTTCGGCATAACAGTATTTGCATAAAGTTTTTTCGCATAAACTTTGATATGCATAGTTATCTAAATGCATAATGGTTTCTTAGGCATAATAATAACTTTGTCTAATTTTCAATACCATAATTTAAATAATCATAAATGTAAAGAACATAATTTTTATATTCCTAAAATTTGTTTTGAATAAAATACGATAGTCATAATGTAATTATTTATAACATTTAAAGTCATAAATATTGTCTATAAGAGCAACCAACATTGAAGAGTAAATAATTATGTATTTGTGATGTTGCGAACGTTCCTCCTTCCACCTTTATACTCTTTCGGCCTATAGATTTGTAAAAACTAAATTCTTATGTCATTGTAATTTTTGTTCTTTTGACCTGTCTCTTAGAAAACTTAAGCTCGTGAAAATACATTCTGTTTGATCTCGAATCCCTCTTATCTATTATAACGCACATAATACAGTCCACATTTCTTTTACAACATTAAGCTTGCCTGGTCTGGAATTATGTAGATCCCGACTGGCCGTGGTCTCTTCCACGTGGTACTAGTCTGCCCTATACTAGAGTGTAATTTAAAAGCCGGAGGCGCGGAGGGAGGGCAGCCCTCGCCCGCTGTAACGAGGCTCAGGCGCCCGGGTGAGCTGGAGCGGCTGAGGCTGGTCGCCGAGGCGCCGAAGGCGCCGATGGCGATCCAAAAAGCCGAAGCTGCGGAAGCAAGCGTGGGTGCCTGAGCCTCGTTACGCAAGGGCGGAAGGGCTGCACATCCCGCAGCGCCGGAGACGAGGAGATACCAATGCATGCTGCATGCTTGCTTTCATGCTGCATGCTCTGCATGCTTATCTACTCTATTAAATTATATATGATTTTTTTAAAGATACGAGTATGTCTGTTATAAAGTAAATTATTCTGAACAACAACATTATGAGTTGAAGTATGTTCTTAGTAACAACATTATTAATGAAAACAATATGATCAAAGAATGTTATGAAGAAAAAAAGATCTGAAAATAAAAATTATGTATTTTAAATGGTTCTTGGTAGTAACAGTATTGATAAAAAAATTATGATTACTAACTGTTATGAGCTCCGATGGTAGTAATAAAAATGTATGAATCATAAAAGTATGAAAAATAAAATTATGAAGAGAGATTATTATGAACACAAATCGGTAGTAGGACAAAGAATAGGATTTAGAATTTTATGTGAGCCAATATAGAACCTATTTTTATACAGATGTAGGTAAACAGATCACGTGCCTGCTAAGCGTCTGTATATTATTTTTTAGGATAATCTTTGAAAGTAGAGTCTCGGTTTTTTCGGAGAATTTGATGCGTAGTAACAGGAATCTAAATTTCAGCTTTTTGCATCCTTCATCAATGTGTGTAAGATCTAAGAACTACTACTAACTATTATCGACTGTCTCATTAAAGATGCCCAACATGGAGTAGGCTTGCTTAGATAATCTTCCAACTTTCAAGGCAAATTATTATCTCTTTAAGCCCTAAATATAAATTATGTCTGCCTCCTCATATTAGGTCTTGGAGAAACCTGAGATAACGAGCTATTTCATTAGATCCCTGAGTAAAATATCACTGTTTCCACGATTTGTTTTCTGCGGGATAAAGAGAAAACTTAATTAAAACAAGTATTCTATCATCGTCATTTTTCAGTTATTAATATAGTTAGTACCTAACTACAATGCTGAACGTAAGTCTCAAAGCCTTCTATCGTTCATACCTACAACTATTACGAGGTGTTTATCCAATTGAAAGCCAATCTCAAGGTAAGAATTAAATTATATCGCACCTTTAAATTTAAACCGTTACTAAACGAAATTATCAAATTTTGCAGGAGAGCCAAAATAAGAAAAAAGTCAATGTTTTTTTTCAATACAGTCAAAGGAAATAGTATTTTAAGGCTTCTTAATGAGTTATATGATAGATATGTGCTAACGCTATGTTATGTGATTTACAAAAATAAAATATTTTATGTATAGTATTATTTATTTTGATTTATATAATTATAGTAACACTTTACCATTTACTATTTTTTCATTTTTAAATAAATTACTATTCAAATTGCAGTCCAAATAATGTTACTATATTGAAAACTATTTAAATTTCAATGATAATGGTGATATTATTATACATTTAAATTTTATATCATAGAGTAGGTATTTGTGATGATGTTACAATATTAAAAAATAACAAACATTCGAAATCAACAATATTTTATTACAAATTAAAGATATCCATACAAGCATTTAGCCTAGTTATTTATTAATCAGTCTTAAGACATTTTGTACCTTTAAATCATAGGAAGTATAACTGATAACGAATAAGAAAAAAACACACCTAGCAATTACCTACCAAAAATACATAAAAATTATATTAAACTCAAGTTACAATCTCAGCATTATTTCCCTACCCTCGAAAGGTTGTTCACATACCTACCTTAAATCACTTAATAATAAAAATAATGAACAATATTTTGTGGCCACTGCTCAGAATGGATGTAAGGTTGAGTCTCGTGATACTAAAGAGCTCCTCCTCATAGACATAACCATTAGCCAACAAGTTCGGCGGAGCAGGAAAGCTCTCTCTGCTGCCTGGATTGACTATAAGAAGGCCTATGATTCGGTGCCTCAATCATGGCGGGAGAGGATCTTAGAGTTGTATAAGGTAGATGCAATGAGATCCTTTTTACGCTCATGCTCATGCATGGGGCAGTGGACTACAGTCCTTCGGCAGCCAGGTGGTGGTGAGAGGTCTCCTGATCCATTGAACTTCATAAGGATTGAGCGAGGCATTTCCAGGGTGACAGTTTGAGTCCCTTGTGGTTCTGCCTAGCACTGAATCCTCTTCGCACTCTGTTAAAGGATTCAGGGCTTAGTTATCAGCTACGAAGAGGGGGTGAGGTCATCCGGAAATACGACATCACCTGGAGCAAATAAATGCTTTTAATCTATATTTTATTATAGACTAAAAAAAATGTTTCACTATTGTAAATCATAAAATTTACTCATTGCTTATTGAAAAACTGTAATTAACGAAATAGGCACCCTTTAGTGATAAATATTATTAGACAAGTACCTAAAAAAATAAAGGCAAACTGTGACTATACCAATTGTTACCGTTTACCAAAGAAATTTTATAATGAATTGTGTATTTTTTTTTAAACGAAAACTGTGTTTAAACATATAGTCACACTTTACTCATTAAAACAACTAAACAACTTACCTTTTTTTGTGACGAACGGCCGTTACTATCCAAATAATCACACTATGAATTTAAACTTTCGTCATCACTCCGCAACAAACACGTTCTTACTTGCATAGACCCGTTATTGTATTTAGCGAGCCGTTCAAAGTTTGGCTTAGTAACGTTATGCTTTAACGCTAGATGGCGTTAGAAGGCAATTTTGAAGAAGTGGTCTATTTTATCTTGTAGTTTACGTGTCCTTTAGTAAGATGGCGTTGATAACTCATTTTTGCGAAAAATTCGTTTAGTAACGGTTTAACTTTAAAGGTGCGATATATCTGGAGGTGTCTAATACAAACATCTAATTATTTGTAGTGGTGTATTGACATGAAAACAAGCGGTTGGACGCCTCAAACGCGGGGCGTGCCTCCTTAATATTTGAATAATTTAACTCTATTACAGAGCTAAGAAAACAACTGGGAATGCGGCGGCAATTTAAAGCGAATTAAGCGAATTAAGTAAACTCGTATATCTTGACGATGTAATTGTTATTGCTACTGTTCTGTTCATTGGTCTCTAACAATTTTGATTCTTCGCAAGAATGAAGCCACCAGTTTCCATTGTGAATGAATAAGAGCAACTAAACTTTTTTGTCAGAGCGGTGATGCATTCGCGCGTGTTTGGATTTAAAAAACTAACTTTTTTTTATTGGCGTGTCAAATTGACTTGACAGATCGCTTTTGCGCGGGAAACTAGGCGGCATGGTTTATAGTTTTCGTTGTAGAACATAAACAAAAGATAGCTTAGACTCAATCAAGTGGGATTTACAAATTAGGCAGTGTTTAACAGTCTCTTTCGTCTTTTTAGCACTAATAGGGTACGAGGCCAAAACAGTATTAAGTCTGCAAAATGTTTTCTTATAGTTAGAAAACAATAGTAAGATCACTATTAAATCTAAAGATGTGGGTTCTGGGAATTTGTTAAAAGAATTAAACCAGAAAATTCATTATTTTCAGGTTTTTCATAAACATCTTACTTACTAAAATGTCTATGTACTTTGTATAAATTTATTGTTTTAATTAATGTACCACATTCTGCAAATAAATAATTTTCATTTTTAATTTTTTTTTTTGTAAATCAACAGTAGAGAAAATCCTTTGATCTTTAAATTGAACCCTAAATATTTCTTGAGTAATTAATATAATTTATTAAGTTGATAAGAACTCTTATCAAACCTTACTACGAATATCAAAGCTCATTTTTAAACTTATTATAAGAATCTACACTATAATATCCGAATTTGCTTTCTATTGTTAAACTGTTTACACCTCCGCGTAATTGTTAGTTAGAAAACTGATAAGCAATATTTAAGTCGAGGAGCGTGATGACACGAAACACCCAGCCAAATACCCATTAAGTTAAAATTTCCTCAGTGGTTAAGTTGTGTGTTCTATTTTAGTACTAAAATTCACTTAAGAAAGGCTTGAAGAACTCGAAAATATGGACGAACTCTTGGCATACAAAAGTCTAGCTCCTCATGTGTGGATATTAAGAGCATCAGGAATTTTCAGACTAAATCAAGATTCGCCCAAGCATCATATATTTTTTCACACGATCTATTTGCGATGGCTCATTGGGTTCTTCTCAGTGTACACCATTCAGCAAATTCTGAAAATTTATTATGTATTGTATAACTTGCTCTACTAATTTAGTTAAATTGTTATCTTATAATTAANCCAGCAAGCCGAAGCTGCGGAAGCGAGCATGGCATGCCGGGTATATGTTACGCCAGAGCGGAAGGACCGCACTTCCCGCAGCGCCGGAGATAAGGCAATCCAAATGCTTGCTTGCATGCTTGCTTGCTGCTTGCTTGCATGCTTGCGTGCTTGCTGCTTGATTGCATGCTTGCTGCTTGCTTGCTTGCTTGCATGCTTGCTGCTTGCTTGCATGCTTGCTGCTTGCTTGCAGGCTTGCTTGTTTGCACCCTTGCTTGCATGCATGCTTACATGCTTCCTTGCAGCTTGCTTGCATGCTTGCGTGCTTGCTGTTTGATTGCATGCTTGCTGCTTGCTTGCATGCTTGTTTGCATGCTTGCTTGTCAATTTATATTTGTTAACTTATATTTTATATGTATAACATTTTTTATTTCATATTTGTTAACATTATGGTATTTTGTATATTATGAATGGTAATATTTATGGCATTGGTTTAAACTCTGATTTTTAATTCGACGGAATTTTGACATTTCAGAAGTGTTGTCAACATTGAAACATTCTCACTAAGAATGGAGAGCATTTTCATAAATTAAAAAANTTTGATATAGAAGAAACCAAAGTTACAGGAGTAGTTATTGAAACTTGGGTTGTTTTCATTTTTGATAGAATGCCTTAATTAAGTGTAATAATCTATACTTACTTGTGTTTAAAAACAAATTTAACATAATTCAAAAATTTCGTAAAAGTTTTTCAAGTTTTTTGACACTTGACAGATAACACTTGTCATTCACAGAACATAGATTAAAATACTACTTCTCAAAACACTTATTTATGTATAATTTATTAAATGTGAGATTAAGTTCGCCTTAGGTTAAAATTTTGGCATTAAAGTATAAATAAATAAAAAGATTATAATCATTTTGCGCAGGGTTGGACTGGGCCGGAAGGGCCCGGGTGGCTGATAGCAATCCCGAGGCCCGAGACTAGATCATGGTGATGGGATAGGTACTGTCGAAAAATACTGAGATACACAAATTGAGATAAACAAACTGTAAAAAATTTATTACAATACTAAAATAAAGTAAAATAATAAGTAGGTATTTNTTGGCATCAGTATCGATCACTAATCACCCCCTGATAGTTATTTTGAAAATATATTTCATGTACAGAATTGACCTCTCTACAGATTTATTATAAGTATAGATAAAGTTAATGTACCTACCTATGCTCGTGCCTATATTATGATTGATTGTTTTCACATTTTTTCTCAATACAAATTTGTCCTAAGTATTGTCTAAAGAGACTTTGTTGCTTAAGTTTCATTGTGCAGCTCGAGTACCTATTTAGATATTTCGTTTGCGCTTGTTTTGTTCAATAACTTTTTCGTATAATTTATGAAAAGAAAAGCTTAAACGATTATCTAGCAAATAATCTGAAATACTTGCATAGATAGAGTTTTATGTAGCAAATTTCTTAGAAGCTTTACTTTGAAACTATGCTCTTGGAAAACATTTCAGAGTCGCGATGATGTGAACAAAGTGATGGAGACCATGTTTTTATTTCTCACCAACACGGACTGCATTTACAAGGCTGTTGTTTTTCAAAGTAAGCCCGAGCGGATCGAGGAACTTCTGAACACTTTGAAAGGTTTGTTCATTGAGATTAACCCATTACTTCCCAAGCATCGAAATCTTTGGAATTTTTTGATCAAATCTTGAAACTAAGTTCATAATAGGCTAAGAAAAAATAATAAAAACAAAAAAATAAAAAAAATAGTACCTTTAATGCTGAGCCAGCCTGTCCTATAAATATGACAGTGGGGACATGTGATCAAAAATAATAAAAGATAACAATTGTAAGAAAATTAGCAGTATTTGAAAATTTGTCCGTAAACAGCTTTAAACATAAAGTTTTAGGAACCTATTTTGTATGGTAAGGTATAAAACAATCACTGCAGAGTGTTTTTTTCACATTTAGCGCAAAAAATAAGAGTTTTTTTTACAATCTTCTCCCTGGCAATGCCTCTATTTGTCCCTCTTCGTCATATAGTCGTTAAAATTGATCATATTGTCAAACCTCACAGGTTGTAAAAGGCGTTCATATGTACCTGATGCAGGTTTTCTTGCCTTGCCTCCCGATTTTTTTATCCAAGAAAAAACCCTACGCTTGAAATCTTTCTAGATTTCAATGTCTCATCTTTATTTACCTCATTGTAAATAATAAATAATCCATGCATTCACTAGGGACATGTCTAAAACACGAATGACTAAGGCCAATACCATTTTTTGCCTCTGAAGCTGAAGATAATCTATTGATTACAGAATTGGACGAAAGTCAACCATAGAAATATTTGAAGTTTTGTGAACTTTTTGTTCACTAATCCCCATTAACGCCAATTGGAGCTTATAAAACTTATAATGGGGAATAATGAACTAAAAAGTTAGTTAATCCCCATTACGTTAAAAATAAAATCCTAATATAACGGGGATTAATGAACTTGTTAGTTCATTATTCCCCATTATAAGCTCCAATTGGCGTTAACGGGGATTAGTGAACAAAAAGTTCACTCTTCCCCGTTGACGGGGATTGTCAATGGGGAATAGTGGAATAAGCCCATTGTTTTGCGGTATTAGATACTAGCTGAATTTCAGAATATACTGGATTACTAGAAGAAGTCGCCAGAACCTTCTTCCATGTCAGTCATTTCGTCCACTTCGTCCGGAGGTAATATGGCTACTTCATTATCGTCCAACTCCTCACCACTACAGTTTTCTTTATATCTGTTCGGCAGAGACCTTTTGAGTAATCTAAACACAAGACCCGCAAGAAACAAACAATTGACACGTTTTAACTAGTGCTTATCGTTGCAGATCCGAAAATGCCTTCGCGGCAAATTGTATAGACATGTTCCCAGTGTCATATTTATAGTACGGCTTATTTTGAAACATTACCACAAGTTTTTAAATTATGTTATGTTTATGTTTATTTTTTTATGTATTGGTAGATGTCTAAGAATCAGTTTTATGTAAATTCTAGTTGGCCAGTTTTTTTATATTATGGTATATAAAATCAAAATATGATGCTTCTTTTTGAGGCAACAAAAATGTTAATTTGAAAAAATTACATTAAAATAACGGATACACTTTTTGCAGCCGAAAAAAATTATTTTATTAGAATAACAGTGCAAGAATACGAATTTTGTCAAAAACAATAAAAAATAGTTTATTAACTTGTAAAAAAAAAATGTTGAATATGGTGTCCTAAAAATAGGACAGTGGGGAGGAATGGGTTAACTACGTTTTTAATAAGCTTTTCCCGCGGCTTTGCTCGTAAGGATTTTTCGCGGAACATGGTCGCAAAATCTAAACCACGCTCTTATTCTGAGAAAATTCGGCATAAAAATTATACCTTGAGAAATAATAAGTAAGGTAAATTCTTAGTTCTTCTTATGGTTCTGTCACAAAAGAGTGTCAACAGGACCGTTTTCTAAGCTTTAGTTGTCCATCCGTCTTTCTTTCTGTCAAGCGAGTTATACAATGTTGGAGGTATCTCCAAACCATAATATCATATCATATGTAAGGATAATAATTATTTTGTACAAACAATATTGTGCAAAA